CCTGGTATGGCTGGGTTAAGTTCTGACCATTCCCTGCTTAAGCAATTTGCTCTTTTCCTACTAATGGCTCTCGCTCACGCTGTCGCCCAGAATATTAAACTTTGAAACTATTCGGCATTGTCTGCATTGCTATAAGAATGGAGCGCAAGTAATCCCCTTAGAGATCAACGACGGGAAAGAAGTGCTCACAGGAGACGGGTACAGTTATTCAGAATTCTCCCTTGAGAAGGGGAGGAGGGGGCAGCGCATGCTATTGATGGGAGTGGTGAAAGAAGGAACCTGCGGCTATTTATCCATGGGTGCATCCAGCCACATCTCCTTTAGAATTTCTGAAGCATCCCCAGAAGAACTGCCTTTTGCATCAGTTAAGTACAAAGACTATCTTTCCCAAAAACATTATTTTTACAGGTAATTCACCTAATACGCTATGTTATGATATCAGATCCATGCGAAGTGGGTCTTCCTTCATCGCTGTGTATCTACTTACGCGCCCCTACAAACATATGCATGATGTCATTCTCACTTTTCCAAGTGAGTTCAATGCGATCTCCATCCAAACTCTTTCATCAACAGCTTAAAAATAGATACTAGCCATAATGTTGTTTGTACATTCAGCTCATGTCATTGTTAGAAAGACTGCTAGCGTTATGGAAACATCGCAATTACAGTTATTACGGACCGACATTTGGCTATGCTTCTGCGGGTCTTTGTGTAAGTCCCCCAAAGTTATACAATGACCTGGGGAAAAAACGAAAAGATTGCTTTAGATATTTGTTTCGATAGGAGTCCTGCTTTGGCAACTGGAAAACGCTGATTTTCACGACAAGCAGACATACTGTTCAATAGCAACAGTTTACACTAGGGATCGCACTGAAAAAGTGTGTTTTACTATGTGCGGAATCAATATGGCAACCTTGCTGGGATTAACTGCTGTATTCCTATTCAACAAAGTTGCACGGAAAAGGTAAATGAACTGTGGCACCTAAACCTTTATTTATTCGCCATGACTGACCTCCGCTAACACAGCAAACCTAAATCTTTCTATCGCGACTTATAGTGGGGCTAGAAACGTGTGTGTGTGTGTGTGTGTGTGTGTGTGTGTGT